GCTATGTTCCAGGCCAATATTAATGCCTATTTACAACCCTTATTGGGGCAGGGCGTTATTGCGTACCTGGATGATGTACTTATCTATAGCTCTGATCTCTCTAAGCACGTCTCTCTTCTGCGACAAGTCCTAAGTATTTTTCTTCGACATCAGTTTTACCTAAAATTCCGCAGACGCAAGTTTGCAAGGCAAACCATTACTTATTTGGGTTATACTGTATCCGCTACGGGGATCAAACCCGCAGAAGACAAAATCGAAGCCATCCGGCTTTGGCCGGAGGTGCTGGAGAACGAAACGCAAGTGCGCCAGTTTCTCGGTACCATAAATTACTGTCGCATGTTCATGGGGCCAGACTATGCCGATGTTGCTCGGCCGCTGGTTGATCTAACGCGTAAAGACGTCAGTTTCAAATGGACAGAGCTTCACACGCAAGCGGTGCGGCAGCTCAAACAGCGCTTAATAGACTTCTCTACCTTACAGGTCCCCGACACGACGAAGCCCTTCGAGTTATCGACAGATGCCTCTGGTTACGCAGTCGGAGCAGTTCTTGAACAGGACGGTAAACCCATCGGCTCCCTCAGTCAAGTCATGAACCCCACGCAACAGGGATACTCGATCTACGATCAGGAACTCTTGGCGTTGGTCACAGCGCTGGACAAGTGGTCGCACTTGCTCCGTGTCTCCAAGGTGACGGCGTTCACTGATCATCAAGCTCTAACCCATCTCCAACGACTCCAAGCATCGAAGCCTCTGCGCGGACGCACCGCCCGGTGGCTAGACTTCCTTGCAGAGTTCCCGGATTTGCACATCACGTATGTTCAGGGAGCGCGCAATCAAGTTGCCGACGCCTTGTCTCGCCGTCCCGGCCTCTCTAACACCTGCTCGCACGACACACCATCGGCACCGCTGATGCTCGCAAGAGGAGAAGCGAGCGCGGCATCCCGCTTTTGCGGTCCGCCTCCCAACTATCGCGAGCTCGCCGGAATTCGCCCGCGCCGCCCTCGACGACACAGCATGCAGTCTGCGCCTTCCCCTGCGCCGCAGGAACCCAACCCAGAGCCGGAACCTCCTACACTTACAACGCAGGCACCCGCTGGCCCCCCTGACGCGCGCCATTGGCCGCAAGCGTACTCGAAGTGCCCTGTTTTTCGAGTTCCCTACGAAGCCGCAGCAAACCAACCAGGAAAAGCTCTGCAGATCGAGTTCTGTCACCGCCAATCTACCTTTCGCTACGTAGAGCCTTACCTGCACATCCGCGTTCATGGACTGTGGGGCATCTGCGTCCCCCAGTTCCCTGAGTTCCTTACTCACGTTCTGCATTCGCATCACGACCATGTCACAGCAGGCCATCGAGGCCAGAAAAAGACCTTTGCGGCCCTCAGCAAGCACTACTACTGGCCTGGAATGCGTACCTATACCACCGCTTATGTTGAGTCATGCACCCACTGTCGCGCTTCAAAATCCATTAACCAGAAGCCTGCAGGCCCTCTTCAACAGTTGCTCATCCCTTCTCGTTGATGGGCGCACGTGAGCCTCGATTTCATCACAGATCTTCCCCTTACAACGACAGGGCACGACTCGATCCTTGTCATGGTCGATTCCCTCAGCAAGATGGCTAATTTCGTTCCTGCAAAGAAATCTTTGACAGCAGCAGACACCGTGGAGCTACTCGCAGACCGCCTTATCCGCTACGATGGATTTCCAGAGGCGCTTATATCGGACCGAGACCCCCGTTTCCAGTCGGATTTGTGGAATCAGCTCCGCCGCCGCTTTAACATCAAACGGTGCATGTCCTCGCACTACCATCCCCAAAGCGACGGCCAGACTGAACGAGTGAACCGCACATTGGAGCAGATGCTTCGTACCTATATCAAATCTGACGAACGCGAATGGGAGCGTTTGCTTCCGGCCTTGGAACTTGCCTACAACACAACAAGTCATTCATCCATTGAGCTCTCTCCTTCCGAGGTCATGATCGGCGAGAACCCGTTGACGGCTGCGGACCTTGATATCGTAGGCGCGCTAGCTCCTACACTCACTCCCCCGATGACTACGCTCTTCCGACAGCTCTGCGACAGGGCACAGAGCCACATCCTGAAAGCAAAATGGGAGCAGAAGTATTAAGCAGACACGAAGCGCCGAGCAGTGGAGTACGCGGTGGGCGACAAGGTCTGGCTCAGCAGCAAGCACCTACCGCCTCTCAACAGCTGCCCTAAGTTCGAGCCCCGTTACCGTGGACCCTTTGAAGTCATCGAACGGATAGGAACCATCGCTTACCGTCTCGCTCTGCCTCCCACGTATGAATGCCATGACGTTTTCCACGTTTCGCAGCTAGTTCCTCACCGCCCCCGCCCTCCCGCTTTGGTTTCCTCGGCAGCCGAGGCAGCCGATGCTGCCTGGCCTCCTATCCACGATGCAGCAGGAAATCCCACAGCGGAATACGAAGTCGACTATATTATGGAGCAACGCGGCTCTGGAGATGCAGTCCAGTACCTCGTGAAGTGGCGCGGAGCCCCTGAAGATCACGCCACATGGGAGCCAGCACATCACCTTACCGGCTGCCCGGCTTTGCTCCGCGCTTGGCGCCGCCGCCAACGAAGACGTCTTCAGGCTCGAAACAACTTGGGTTCTTCCGAAGCGTAGAAGTACGGGTCCGCCATGTTCCAGCTCCTCCAGCACGAGCACCCCTTCAATGAGGAGAGGGGAGGGAGCGCTGCGCACCGCGCGCGCTCACCACGGCAGCTTTGGAAAGCACAGAGATTGCAAAAGCAAAAATAATGCGTTTGGGACAGGTCTCTTTAGTCCGGCAAAGGGGGAAGTTGTAGTGCTGAGACACTACAATGGGGCTGACTAGTGTCCTAGGGATGATAGCTAGCTAGCGACCTGCAAGAGGCCGCGACACTGGAGGGGGACAGGAACCCCCCCAATACATGAAAAACTAAGAAAAACCGTTAGTGAGTTCTAGTGAAAAACGTGAATTGTGCGGAAATCGTGTGGAGACTGGGGCTGGCGATAGCGCGGGAACCAATGCGACCTCCGCCCATAGGGTCTAGGGGATAAGCTCCGAGAAGGGAGCGAATCGAAGACAGAGAACACACACACGTCTTGAATTGTCGTATTTCGACGAATAAAGCGGTAGAGACCGAGAAATGGGGCTAATCTAGGTGTAGAATGTAGGCCTGTAGAGGGACAGGAAACAGCGTAGTCGCAGCAGTAGGCGCCGCGCACTACAATGAGCAGTGTCACGGACAGCGTATGCTGGTGGGGCAAGGTAAACTGTCATTACCTCTCATCTGCAGGAAAGGGGTGACAGATAGCCTGACGAGAGGTAGGCCGGCAACCACCTCTGCTATTATAAAATTTGACAAAGCAAACTGTCACTATCCTACGTCTGCAAAGAAAGAGTCACAGAAAAAGATATCAATCACCCTTTCTGAAATCATAAAATACAGCAATTAATGGGTTGCTGCCACTAAGTTTTTCATGACGGAACAGATGAGCCGTCTAGTGATAAATCTTTTCGCGACAATACGGAGCGAATTTGATGCATCTATCTCTAGCGGGTACGCGTTCAGTTCTACGCCAGGCTTTGTCTCCTTTAAACTCGACGCCACGCCTTATGCAGTCAATGCATATTTTTCGCCGCAATTTCGCTCATAAAACATCCCTCTGTCCTTGGTCACACAGTTTGTTAAACAATCTTCTCAACTATGGCACTGACCTGATTCCATCAGGGAGAGAGAATAAGCACCGGTCAGAGCAGTCCTGCAGGCTCCTAAGCGGGTAATTTACAAGCAAGGCAGTGAGAGGAAGCATATGTAGCGCGCAGGCACTACAATAGGGCTTGCTGGTGACCTATTGAGGATAGCTAACTGATGACCTATAAGCGGTCAAGAGGTTGAGACGCAGATTGAGCGCTGTAACCTCTTCCTAGTGAAATAGAAATGCAATTTATTAGCAAATTAACATGTATTAACTAGAAATGCCTGAGAACTCTCGAAGATTGGGGCTGCCGACAACGCCGGAACCGGTGCGCGTCACATCCTCACCGCACAAGCAAAGCAAGAACGATAAGAAATGACTTTTATGAAATATGATTTTGGGAACTTGAAACAAGATGGTCATTCTAATAAGTTGTCTGACGTTACACGACCGATGCTTCTGTAGAAGAGAAGATTTCATAGAACGCCAGAGTTGAGGGTCGTGCAGCATCGTATGCAGTGCACAGGGACTACAATGAGGCTGGCGAGTGTCCTACAGATGATAGCTAGCTAGCGACCTACAAGGGGCCGCAACACTGGAGGAGGACAGGACCCTCCCAAGGGGAAAAAAATAAGAAAAACTATTAGTTAGTTCTAATTAATACGTGAAATGTGCGGAAATTGTGTGGAGATTGTGGCTGGCGGTAGCGCCGGCGCCAGTGCGGACCTCCTCCCCATAGGGCCTAGGAGGTGAGCTCCCAGAGGGGGGGCTAATCGACTAGACAGGTTTGAAACACTTTGGAATTGTTGTATCTCGATGGAATAAAGCTGTAGAGTCCGAGAAATGGGGCTACGCTAGGCTTAGTTTGTAGACCTGCTCGAGGGGTAGGAAGCAACGTAGTCGCAGCAGTAGGCGCCGCGCACTACATCGTAGGCGCTATAGAGAACGCAGTGTACTACATTTGAGGGCTGTTTCGGGAAGAAGAACTATTTTTGCCGGACCTGAGAGTAGAAATACTTTGTTTTAATGATTCGCATCTAGATATCTTAGCTAAGTAAGCGATGCACCTACGCAACGGACGCGTACTCGGACCTATGCAACAGGAGACTTCTACAATGTCAGCAAACAAATTGCCCAGTGGAACACCAACCCAACTTCAACATGCTACCCCGAAAGCACTTGTGGCAGAGCGGCCGAACGGGCATAAGGAGAAACCCCAGCAGGTGGCACCTACAGCAAATGTCAACGGCATGTCAGGGGACAGTCCGTACGTCACGTGAGACCAATTCCACTCTGCGATGGCTGCGATAGAGAATGTTATAGGCGGGTCTGGAGAATTGAGCGCAACGTCGCCTATACTCCCTGAAGACTGCAGTACTATGCAGGCCTTTTTGATGCGTACCCAACGACGGTACACCCAGATGGGATTGGAGACCAGTGAGTGGGCAAACACACTTTTCGACCATTTTGTAGGTCCGGCTCTAACTTATTTGGATGTATCTACAGCGAACTATCGACCTAAGCGACTGGGCGACTGTATAGCGCCGGCTTGTGGAACGTTTTGACAAGATTGTACGGACTAGTTTGCGGCTGTAGCGGAGCGTGGAGTTGGGATCGCCCCCGACGAACTCGCTGACTTCTACTGCACTAGGCTACCAACTGACCTCCATCTTCTCATTACAAATAATGGGCTGGTGAAGAATACTTCGTCGGAACAAGCGGCAACAGCAGCACCGCGACTCTATGAACCTAAGCAGACCGTGCTAGAGCTACGTGAAAAGGCTAGTCGAGCCGTAAGAGCTGGTACTGAGGCAAATGAAACCCAACAGAGGCAGGAAAATGGAGCTAGGCCTGGAGGAAACTCCGGTAACTGCTGCGAGTGTCAGGGTCGTGGACAGCCCGCACGACTTTGTCCCAGCAAAGGGGAACGAACCAAGCGCCCGCGCGAGACCTGCAAGAAGTGTGGATGTGTGGGTCACTATGCTCGTTATGTCCTACACACGCTGAGGCCGTGCCGAGCTGGAAAACAAGAGCAGTACGCAACCTATCCGTCCTAGTACTGAGAAGACCGAACGTTTAAACCGCGAGGCCTAGGCGTGGTTGGAGACGAGCGTTCCAGGCCGCGAAGCCAGGGCAAAGGGATGATGCGTGCGGTAGCGACAGGACCTAATGCCATTCCGGTATCCTTAGAGCGGGGAAACAGCCTCCGCAACACGGAAGAGGAGAACAAAATGAGCGATGAGGTCGTGCAGGGGACTCAGCCGCCTTTGGAAGCGCGATTGGAGTTTGGGCCGGCGCCAATGCGGAATGAAGAGGCTCCGTGCGTGAAGGCGGATAGCAGCGGGAAATCTACAGAAGCGACAGAAGAACCCTGCGGGCCAGAAGCGATAGAGACAATGCCGCACTGGTGGCGGGAAACTACCGCGAAGGAATCTTGCAACCAAGGAGGAGACTTTTGTTACGTGAATGCAACAGCGGTACTTCGCGTTGAGCTCGCAGGAAGTTCATGCGAGGATGCGTGGCGGGTATGTCAGCGGGGAGGCTGAAATGTTCGTACGGCCGCCACCTACAGGGTATAAATAACTCCCACGCGAAGACTAAGGCGAAGGCACATATAACGTCGGTTGTTCGCCAGGCGGCGGCCGACGCAAAGAATCTCAGGGCACTATTGCACGGTTTGCATTACATCCTGGCCATGCCCGACGATGGCTCGTCAGTGGCACTGAGGTTCACGGACGAATGGCAAGGCGCACTTTGCTGCGCGTTGATCGGAATTGACCCAAAGCCTCCGGTTGTAGCCGTCCTTTGGCCTCTACTGCCTTGATAACAGCGGAAGATGAAGAAGAGTCTCCATGGCCTACGGCAAAACTCGAACACACACTCTCCGATGAATGGATAAATTCGACAGAAGCACGAGCTTTATTGTCTTGCTGGTCAACTGTCTCAGCAAGATGGCCCATTTCGTTCCTACAAAGGAGTCATTCACTAGCAGCTCATACCGTAGAGCTTCTAGCGGAACGTCTTATCCGCTACCATTGCTTTGCGGAGGTGCTCCTATCGGACTGAGACCTCCGTTTCCTGTCGGATCTCTGGGAACAACTATGTCGGCGTTTTAGCATCAGTTGCGCCATGCCCTCGTCCCACCATCCCCAGAGTGACGGTCAAACTGAAAGGGTTAATCGCACATTGGAGCAGATGCTCTGTACCTACATTCAATCTGGCGAACGCGAGTCGGAGAGCTTGCTTCCGGCCTTGGAACTTGCGTCCAACATGACAAGCCATTCATTCACTGAATTCTCTTCCTTCGATGCCGTGATCGGCAAGAATCCGCTAACTGCTGCGAATCTTGATGTCGTAGGCGGGTTAGCCCCTATGCTCACTCCTCGGATGACTAAGGTTTTTCCGGCAGCTCTGCGACGGAGCACAGAATCACATCTTGATGGCAAAATGGCAGCAGAAGTACTACGCGGACACAAGGCGTTAAGCCGTGGAGTATGCAATGGGCGACAAGGTCTGTGTCAGTAAGAAGCATCTACCGGCTTTGAACAGCTGCCCTAAGTTCAAGCCCCACTTCCAACGACCCTTTGAAGTCATCGACCGTATAGGGGGAGTCGCTTACCGTCTCGCTCTGCCTCCCACCTATGAATGCCAAAACGCTTTCCATGTTTCGCGCTTAGTTCCCCATCACCCCCGCCCTCCCGGATTGGTGTTCCCCAGGAAGCCGACGCGGCCTGGCCCCCTATACGCGATGCGGCAGGCAGTGTAACAGAGGAGCATGGGGTAGCTTATATCGTGGACCAGCGCGGCTCGGGAGCCGACGGCCAGTACCTCGTCAAGTGGCGCGGAACCCCTGAAGATCAACCCACCTGAGAGCTCACTCACCACCTCACAGGATGCCCGGCTATGCTTCATGCTTGGCACCGCCTCCAGCTAAGACACATCCAGGATCGACACCGTGCTGCTCCCCCTGAGGCGTAGAGGCTTGAGTCCGTGAGCTTCCGCCACCCGCAGCGGGGAGGGAGCGCTGCGCACCGCTTGCCCTCATGGCATTAGCTTTAGAAGAGAATAGAGACTGAAAAAGCAGAAATAATGTGTTCTGAGTAGGCCGGTGCAGTGCGGCAAGGGGGGAAGTTATAGTGCGCAGGCACTATAAGAGGGCTTGCTGGTGACCTTAAGAAGATAGCTATGTAGTGAATAGCACCTTCTGCTGCGACTACGGTGCTAACTGGCCCGCGAATAGCGCACCCTTTGAAAACCACCCTACTTTCAACACATCTCTCATGAAACAAATACCAAAGCATCAATAAAATCAGTCATCTTTGCGAGTTCTCAATCCGATTTACCTAAAAGTCCCCCCACTCAGCGTTCTTGTTTACTTGGCCCCGTGGAGAGGTGGCCCGCACCGGTGCAGGCGCTATCGCCAGCCCCAATCTTAGGGTTGCGCACTGGTGTTCCTGTACTGGCCGTGCGCCACTAATCTAATCATGCTTGCCTTCTAGCTCACGTTCTTCTCCCTTCAAAGCATCGTATATCAGTTCCAGCCCCAATAAATTAGCACATGGATCGTTTTGCCATCAGATGCCCTGTTACTTCTTCCATGCCCACCTAAATGTTGGGCTGTCAACGTTTAGCTGTAGTGTACACATTGCACTCTCCTTGGCCTTCATGTTGCTGCTTGTGGGGCATTTGTCCTCGCCGCCACTGGGCTGGCATCTGCCCTCTGCAATCAGTGTGCACATCGTTGCACGAAGCTGCTGTTTCATAGCGACAGCACACCATGCAGTCTTTCTAGCGACTTGCATTGCAGCTCCTGGAGGTTGAATATGTTGCTAAGGTACGTGATGAGTCGCTGCGGGTATTACAGCCGCCTTCAGCTCGATGCAACAACTGTGATATGCAGTCAAAAAATGCACGGCGAGAAGCCGGAGAACATTCACAACACCACCCTAAACTACACGCCAACTAGATAGTGGAAGAGACGCTAAGTCGAAAGTAAGTAGGTCACAGCGATTACGACCAAGACCTACAGCCGCAATGGGTTTGCTAATGTCCTTGAAAAGGCTGGCATTAAAAGAAGCAGAAGGTTCACTATGACCGGATGAAGAATGGCACACGAGCGGGAAACGTCAAAGGCGAGGGCAAAATTCTCCTTGCCGCAGTGGCAGCTCAGTAGGTCGTGGAAAGGAACACACAGCATCAGCAAAATCGACAGCGCTAGGAACAGCCAAACTTGTTGGTATAAGTCACGCTTGAACAAGCGCAACAGGCGTTCCCGCTGCAACGAAGGCTGCTGTCTTCGCTCTTGCAGCAAATGCTGAAGGTGCTGGGACTTGCGCAGTTGCAAATGAACATTTTCAACCACAACATGATGGTACCATCAATACTGGTACACCTCATGATAGCAGTCATTGCTCGTGCAGCAGCAACAACCGTCGTCAAGGCACCGCAATTTCTAGCTTTGCCCAATTTTTTGGGCAAAGCTAGAGTACCCGCATCTAAAGCTGCTCCTACTGCCAACGCTAGCTTAAATAACAACGGCAGCACCTGCTCCTGCACCAGACATCCTAAGAGATAGCTTCTGTATGAGGCGAAGCCGTGCACTGCACGGGCCACTTGCAAATGGGGCATACGTCACTTTGCTGCAACCACGTATCTACGCAGCTCACATGGAAGAAATGAAGACAGGGAAGGAAACGCACTATTTGAGCCTCCACAAAAGAATCCAAACAGATGGCACATTTTTCTTTGTCATCTTCCTCCCCAGCCTGAGCGCTGCTACTGCTGCCACTGCTGCGCTCGCCGCTATTGCAGCAGGTCGCAGAGGCAGCAGTGGTGCGGGGCGCTGATGTCCGGTGTTTGAAAGGAAGAGTCGGTAGCTGCTGCAGCACGTGAAGCGGGGTTCCTCGCTGCTGCTGCGGTTGTTGCCACAAGTCCATCTCACCCCACAGCTGCTGCTGTTGCAGCGACACTAACACTTGACCAAACGCACTATCAGCCGCTTCTCCTGATGTGGCTGTTGCTACTACAGAATTTGTTGCACTCCGCTGCAACTGCCGCTGCCATGGCAGCATTGTCCTCCTAATCCGGCGGCGGGAAACAACACGGTTAGCAGCAGTGGCTGCAGCAGAGCCTGCAGCTAGGTTCTGCTGTGATCTCATTGTCCCAGCTAACGGATGCTGCTGATGCCGGAGCTGCTGGTGAACTTGCTGTTGGTGCTGCAGCAGTTGCAGTTGGTGTGGGAGACCCTGTGGAATCACGAGGTATGGCAGTAAGTCCGTTGGCTCGAGACCAGTAGACCTAAGTCCCGAAACGGCCTCGTCCATTGCAGGAGCCGCAGCAGCATGATGTGTTGCAACTGCAGCTAGGTGTCCTTCAGCGGTAGCTGCTGCTGGAGGAAAGTTGCGGTGGCTCATCCGTGTGGCAGACCTTTCATCCCGACCAAGTTCGCCCCACAAAAATGCTGCTGTATCTCGATCGCAGATTGTCTCGTGCTGCAGGCGCTGCTGCTGCTGATCCGCTGCGAACACAGATGCCCGCGCCGAAGTAGGGGCTGTAAAGCCACATAGCTCAGGCTCCTCATCACTTGAATCGACGCTGAAACCTTCCACGGTTGTTGCAGCAGCAGATGCTGGGGCGGAGCTGGCAGAAGCTGCCGTCGGTGACAACCTGCCAAAGCCTCCCGCAGCCTCTATCGTTGTTGCCTCTGCCGTTTCCGCTGCCCCTCTGGAGCTGCAGGGCAAAAAGCGAATTGGAAGTAGCGGACTCTGCTGGTGCTGCTGATGCGGTGGCGCTCCACGAAGAGAGTAATCGAATGGTAATGGTGCGCTCCTGCTGCTATCGTTGGCTCTCCTCGGGCAGCCGTTATGATGCACTCCAAGTAGTCGCTCTGCTTCCGAGTCCGTTGCCGCTGCTGGTGCGGCATCTCTTCTACCAATAAAAAGACAGTCATCGTCCTCTTCACTGTCAAGGTCAATTAGTTCCCTGACGGCACTGCTGTTACTGCTGCACCTGTCGTTGCTGTTTGCCCCGTCACCGTACCCACTAGCCATACTTGCTGGGCAGACGCGTCTGTCTTGCGATATGGGGCTACTACTACTGCATCTCGTGCTGCTCTTTCTGCTACTCGTGCCATCCCTTGCCTTCGCCGTCTCCTCACCCTCAGTTGCGGACAACTCAAATGCTTCGGCAGGGCAAAGGTGCTTGGAGTGTTGTCCTCGGCTATTACTTCTGCTCCGGCTACTATTGCCACTGCCGCTATTCCTTTCGCAGCCCCTTGGACCTCTCAACATCGAGCGGCAGTCAGTCATGCCACTGCTGCTGTCGTATCTACTGTCCGCGGTTTTGCTGTCCCTGCTGCTACTGCCGACGCTGCCGCTGTTGCTGTCAAAGAGACGCGCCGCTGGTCTAGCCAACTCACACACTATGTTGACGTTCCTGCGGTGCCTGTGTTCGTTGTAAATGTAATTGAAAGAATCGGTCTGCCTGCCGTGTGCTATTTCTGCCATAGCTTCATTTCCTGCAGCCTCTGTGCGCGATAACGAGCGTTCAGCGTCAAGTTGTTTTTAGTTACATTTGCAGAATAGTCGGTGGTGTTGCTGTCGAGTTTGGTGTGGTTCCCTCGCGTTGTGCTGCTGTTCGGGCTACTGCTGCTGCTTTTGCTGAGAGAACCACCGGGGGCAATCGCACAAAATTTATAGAAAGGCAGCACTGAACCCTTGCTGCAGCTGATGAATCTTGGAGCGCGGCAAAACGTGAGGATCTAACCTTCTGCTGCTCCTGCTGCTGTCCCCGATCTTGCTCCCGCGGCCGCCTTCTCTGCCACACAACAGACCGATTCGTTGAACGTTGTTGCCCGTACTGCAATTCAGACTGCTCTTACGCAGCTACAACAGCCACTCTACCCCTCCGTCCACGCGCCGCAGCTGCCTTCATTCAAAGCAGATGCTGCGTTTGCTTCCGTTGCTCACGCGTATGTACGCCTATCGCTGTTCCTGCGGCCCTCATAGCTTCAGCTCCAGTCTCCCTTCTCGTTGATGCCGGATCGAACATTCAACTCCTAAAAATGTGTTTGTGCTGCGGGAAGCCCTCTGATATGCAGAATCCTGTTCCTGCTCAATCTGCTTTTCCCGGATCTCGGGATTCTTAGCCTTACACTGGTAGCGCATCTGCAGCCTTCCGTAATGCTGCCGAGAGAAGATGGGACAGTGAAATGCCTGGACAAATTAGATGAGCTCAATAAAATCGCACGAGGACTACCATTCTTGGACGACGGAGCCGGAAGAGCTTTAAGTGAAAGGAGCCCTAGTTGGTTGCGAAACAAAGGTAGTATCGGTGACCGGCTCTCATATGCGCAAGCTACAGTCCACCCAATATATGAGTCATTTGCAGAGACACTTATTTATAGTGTACTGTGAGCGGCAATGTAAGGGCTGAGGTTTCAGACGGTAGCGTTTCACTTGTAACTGTAGAGGAGTAGGCTGGTGAAGGTCCCAGATTGATTGCATGCTAGCGGCAACGTGACAAATCTGCTGGAATCATATTTCGCACCACTGCTGTGTTCTTCAAGCATTAAGTAAATAATCAACACAACCATATAGATGAAAGAGGGCTTATGCTCAGCCCATGCAAAACCGCGATATTGGCGTGTACTTCCTGCCGCCCGCCACCTGCGTGCTATACAGCAGACTCTCGGTACATTTCATGCGACTTTCGAACAGCTTGAGCTCAATAACTGATGCGCCCATAGAAATTAATTTAGGGTTTGGCGACACAGCGAAATCGTATTGAACGCTTCTTCATGTTCCACTCACCGTTACGCGGTTGAGCGGAATTGTGAAGTCCTATCTCACTTCTGTATGTTCCACTCACTG